CAAATTCAAGCCACTCGGACAAACGCCGCCAAAGTTGGACCCCGCCAGAGGCTTCAAAGGCGAAGCCACCATCCGCAGCTCTGACACAGTGGGCCCATCAGGGAGCTCTCCGAGGTCCTCGGGCAGAAGCATCCCCCGGGGCTTTCGCGCCAGGCCCTGCCGAGTCCCGACGTTGGGAACTGCCGATCTCACCAGGGTCGGCGCCCTGGCCAATAGCGCTCTGCCGATTTCAACAGGGACGGGCAAAGATGTCTGGCTGCCGATCGGCGCGCATTCTGCGCCACGTGCGCACCTGCGGCGCTCGCCCCGCTGCCGAAAGCGCACTGGGCGCGCGCGTTTAAGAACATCTCACGGCCATCGAGGGGGCCGCTGGCATGCCTGGCGATCTCGTCGGCCCAGAGCTCGTCACATTCTGCCCGCAGCCTGCGCAGCCAACGGTGGCGCCACTCACGATGGCAATGATGACTTCTCCAGATCTTCTCGCAAATCTCAATCGCCATGAAAGAACTGCAACGGCAACACCATCGGGCGACGGGGGGCCCACGTGGGCCCCGCCGCGCGCTCCCGCTCCTGGACAGGCTCCGCGCACGGCTCCGCCCACGGCGCCCGCCCCTGCCAGCGCGCGCCCGCCGGTCGAGATCCCCCTCGGGCCGCGCGTCCTGGAGATCCCTGCGGTCGCAGGTTCCCGCCCCGCTGGGCGTTCACCAAGAACCCCCCCTCGATACTGATATCGATCGCGCTGAAGCGCCAGCGCGCCGTGTCCAACGCCGCGAGGATCCCCCCCTGCAGGATCGCCTCGAAGATCGCGGCGATCGCGTTGAGCTCCCGCACGTTGCCAAGCCCCGCGGCTGCCTCGGGGCGCACCCCGAAGAGGAAGAGAACCGTCACGAGGCAAGCCCGCACCACGTCGGGCAGCGGGGCCCCGCCCGGCAGGTCATCCATGGCGGACCCGCGCAGGTGGCCTTCCATGCGTGGCAGGGCCTGGTGCGAGAGCGCGCCCGGGAAGCCCGACGCGACGGCGCGCGTCGTCGAACGACCGCGGTCGCCGCCCCGGCGACCGTCCGAGACCGCGTCCCCGGCGCCCCTGAAAACTTCGCCCGCGCCCCCGGCGCCCTCGAGCCCGGCGGCTCCGAGGATGCGCTCGACGAGCTCCGTGCGGAGGCACTCAGAAATCGCGGCGACAGGGGTCTCTGGCCTGGCTCAGCCTGCCCCGCAGCCGCGCCTCGGTGGCGATGACCCCGAGACTCCTGCAGCCGCCGCCACAAATCCTCGGCATGGGGCCCCCCTGCCGCGGGCCCCCATGCAGGAAGCAGCGGGTTGGCGGGGGCGCCCCCCCCTCCCAGCGCGCCGCCGGCAACTTACATACATGCGTCGCCGGCAGCGCCGGGCGCAGCAGGCGGCGCGCGGCGCCGTGGGGGGCCTCCCCCTGGCCGCTCGCCTCGCCCGCGGGCCCAGGGACGCCAAGGACACCAGCGAGGTCTCGAAGCTCGCCGGCCAGCCCTGGATCGCCAGCCTCGGCTCCCCCCGCTCGCGGGGTGGCGCGCGGCCTCGCCAGCGGGCCGTTGGCAAACGACCGCTGCCCGCGAAACCGCCCGCGGAGCGGCCGCAGGCCGCCGCCGAACATCGCGGCCCTTCGGCGGCATGCCCCAGTTCCTGGAAGGGGGTACCAAAATGCGCGCGCATCCCTGTTGAGCCAAGATGCTATGGCCACTCAACCTCCACAATAGCACCCAGGGCGTTTGCATGGTGAGCGTTTTAAACGCGAGCGGCGGCTGGACTCAATGAGCCTCCATTGGGCTCTGTTGGTCTCCCTCGTGCCCCTCCTCCGCCTCCTCCTCCTCCTCCTCCCTCTCCTGTTCCTGCTCCTTCTCCTGCTCCTGCTCCTCCTGCTCCTCCTGCTCCTCCTGCTCCTCCTCCTCCTCCTCCTCCTCCTCCTCCCTCCTCCTCCTCCTCCTCCTCCTCCTCCATCATCATCATCATCATCATCATCATCAGCAGCAGCAGCAGCAGCATCATCATCATCATCATCATCATCTCATCATCATCATCATCATCATCATCATCATCATCATCATCATCATCATCATCATCATCATCATCATCATCATCATCATCATCCATCATCATCATCTCATCCATCATCCATCATCATCATCATCATCATCCATCATCATCATCATCATCATCATCATCATCATCAGCATCATCATCATCATCATCATCATCATCATCATCATCATCATCATCATCATCATCATCATCATCATCATCATCTCTTTTTCTCTCTCTCTCTCTCTCACTCTCTCTCTATATATATGTATATATTGCTCTGTCTCTCTCTCTCTCTCGCTCTCGCTATCTCTGATTATCTATCTACCTATATATATATATATATATATATATATATATATATCGCTCTCTCTCTCTCTCTCTCTCTCCAATCCCTCTCTATCTCCCATTTCTCTTTCTCTTTCCCTCTCTCTCTCACTCTCTCTCTCCCTCTCCGTTGGACTCCATTGACCTTCACTGGGCTTTGCCCTCATCCTTCTCTCGCCCTCCACCCCCACAGCCCCCCTCCATTGGGCTCCATCCCCTCTCCACCCCATCTCCTCCTCCTCTCCTCCGCCCCCCCCCCCCCTGGGGACAAACGAAAAGGAATGTATCTAGTTTGGATGGTTCTGTTCTCGGGATGGGGGAAAGAGAACAAAAACATCAAAAAAGGCGAAGGGGGAGGAGGAGGAGGAGGAGGAGGAGGAGGAGGAGGAGGAGGAGGAGGAGGAGGAGGGAGGAGGAGGAGGAGGAGGAGGAGGAGGAGGGAGGAGGAGGAGGAGGAGGAGGAGGAGGAGGATGAGGAGGAGACGGGGGAGGAGGAGGAGGAGGAGGAGGAGGAGGAAAAGGAGGAGGAGAAGGAGGAGGAGCGGGACCAGTGCAAACCCAAGACGCATCAACGATGCTGCAACCAACCCTGCAACAGTCGTCTGCCCACCCCCCACCCCCACGCCCCCACCACACCTGACACCGAGAGGGGGAGGAGGGAGGAGGAGGATGAGGAGAAGGAGGAGAGAGGCGCTGGAGAAGGAGGAGAGAGGCGTTGGAGAAGGAGGAGAAGGACGAGGAGGAGAAGGAGAAGGAGGAGGAGGAGGAGGAGGAGGAGGAGGATGAGGAGGAGGAGGAGGAGAGAGGCGTTGGAGAAGGAAGAGGAGGGGGAGGAGGGAGAGGAGGGGGAGGAGAAAGAGGAGGAAGAGGAGGAAGGATGCGAAAACCCGACGAGAACCATACGAAAACACCATCCGAACAGCGAATGGCGCCAGAATCCCCGAGGACGAGGGGGATCTGGAGGACGAGAAGGCGAGGGGGCGAAAACGACGACAACAACGACAACTACGATGAGGACAGCAACGACGACGACGAAGCCGAAAACAGCAAGGACGACGAGGACAGCGACGATGACGCCGACGCCAACGCCGACGACGACCACGACGAGGATGAAAGCGACGACGACGACGCCGAAGGCGACGACGACGACGAGGACGACGACGACGACGCCAACGCCGACGACGACCACGACAAGGATGAAAGCGACGACGACGAGGACGACAGCGACTACGACGACGACGACGACGCCGAAGGCGACGACGAGGACGAGGACGACGACGACGACCACGACCACGACCACGACGACGACGACGACGACGACGACGACAGCGACGACGACGACGACGACGACGAGTGGGACGAGACGACGAGGACGTCGAAGGCGACGAGGAAGACGAGGACGACATTGACAAAGACGACGAGCATGACCTACGAGAACCAGTGGCCTGCGCGCACAACGCAGGCGCTACAACTGGACCTTGCCACCTTACCACGACACGAGGCTGTGGTGCATGCGTGCGCTGCGGCAGCGCCCGGGGCGCACTGCAGGAGGGGGATGGGAAGAGGACCTTACGCGTCGGGCGGGGACAGAGGGGGGCACGTTATATATCTAGAGGCTGCCTAGAGTAGGGGGCCACAGGCGAACCCTACCCCTACCCCCCCACGATTTCTGAGGGGGAGGGTGTGGTTCACTTCGACCAGAATGGGGTGCAAGATGATGGGGTGCAAGATGATGGGGTGCAAGAAGATGGGGTCGGAGGGTCGCGCCGCCTGGCCGATGCATCGCCGATGCGTCGGCGATGAGTCGGCGACGACGGCGATGCATCGGCGACGTCGGCGAGCAGAATGTGGCGCTCCACATCGAGCCGCATCGCCGATGCGTCGGCGATGCGGCGCGATCCTCCGACCCCATCCTCTTGGACCCCATCTGAGAGGACTGAGGTTACTGGTGGTGGGGAGGGCATCATCACTCGCCGAATGGCCCAGGGCCTAAAAAACACTCTCGGGAAAGTTGGGAGGGGTGAAGCCAACGCGTATCAGAAGGACGCACAATAAGAATACAAGGGCCTTGGAAGGTCATATTCGACACTTTGCGAGCGGAGCGCGGCCAACGAAAGTGGCCAAGGATGGACCGAAGAGGCAAGGATGCAAAGGTACCCTTGGGAAGGTTGCCCATCCTTACTATGGGGGTTGACTGTAGTTCTTGCGCGGGGAGTCGTGAAAAAGTCGGGAGGGTCCAGCGCCTCCCCCAAGGCTACTCTTTCCTAGTGAGGCGCCGACGCGGCCACGATTCCTGCCAGAGCACACGCCACGACCTGCCCCCTTACCGTTCCGAGGTGAAACCCGAGGAACCCTCTCCAGGGTACGTCTGGTCCAGGGCAGGATCAGTCACCATCGAATCGATAACTCGGATCGCATTAAAATGCGCACGAATCGAACCAGATCGCCTGTGCCAGGATGCATGACAGCGCCATGCAAGCAACCGGCCGCATCGGGTCGGAATATCGGAATCGAATCGCATCAGGACGGCCAGAATCGATACATCGAATCGGACCGATCGGATTGAAATGGACCCTGTCTGGTACACTTGGCCCTCCTCTGAAGAGCAGGGGACCGCGCCCGTTTCACCGAGCCCGCTCGTATATGCGCAGATCGTCTTGCATCGCAGGCCACCTCAGGATCTCGCGGCGCCACACCTCGGGCGTGAGGGAGGAGGGAGGAGGAAGAGGAGGAGGAGGAGGAGGAGGAGGAGGAGGAGGAGGAGGGGGAGGCGGAGGAGAAGGAGGAGGAGGAGGAGGAGGGGAAGGAGGAAAAGGAGGAGGAGGAGGAGGAGGAGGAGGAAAGGGAGGAGGAGAGGGAGGAAGAGGAACAGAGTAAACCCAAAACGCACCACCAACGATACTGCAATTTTATTCTGCAACAATCTTCCGGGACCCCCCCCACCACGCCCCCACCACACATGACACAAGAAGTCTAGTGGAGCCTCTGGGTACAAGTTCTTCGGGGCCACCCACCCTGCACCAATCGTCCAGGACCCCTTCCACCACGCCCCCACCACACCTGACACCGGCAGCCTCTGCAAAAATCGTCCGGGACCCCCCACCACGCCCCCACCACGCCCCCACCACACCCCCACCACACCTGACACTGGCAGCCTCCTGAAGCCTCTGGGCACAAGTTCTTCGGGGCCACCCACCCTGCAAAAATCGTCCGGGACCCCCCTTCCCACCACACCTGACACCGGTAGCCTCCTGGAGACTCTTGGCACAGGGGCCACCCACGTGCAAAAATCGTCCGGGGCCCCGCCACCACGATCCCATTACACCTATGACGCCGGCAGCCTACTGGGCCACCCGTCCTGCAACGCTCGTCCGGGAGCCCCCCCATGACGCCACCACCTCACCTGACACTGGCAGCCTCCAGGAGCCACTGGGCACAAGATCTTCTGGGCCACCCACCCTGCATAAATCGTCCAGGACCCCCCACCACCACGCCCCCACCACACCTGACAAAGGCAGCCTCTTGAAGACTCTAGGCACAAATTCTTGAAGGCCAGCCATCCGGCAACAATCGTCCGGGACCCCCCCTCCACGTCCCAACCACACCTGACACTGGCAGCCTCCTGGAGCGTCTGGGCACAAGTTCGGGCCACCCACCCACCACGCCCCCACCATACCCCCACCACACCTGACACCGGCAGCCTCCTGGAGACTTTGGGCACGGGCTCGTAAGGGCCACCCACCCTGCAAAAATCCTCTGGGCCCCCCCCCACCACAACGTTCCCACCACACCTGACACCGGCAGCCTCCTGAAGCCTCTAGGCACAGGTTCTCAAGAAGGGCCACCCACCCTGCAAAAATCATCCTGGACCCCACCCACCACGCCCCCACCACACCCCCGCCACACCTGACACTGGCAGCCTCCTGAAGCCTCTGAACACAAATTCTGAGAGGCCAGCCACCCTGCAAAGATCGTCCGGGACCCCCACCACCACGCCCCTACCGCACATGACAGTGGCAGCCTGTTGGAGCCTCTATAGGCACAGGTTCTTCGGGGCCACCCACCCTGCTCAAATCGTCTGGGAGCCCCCCACCACGAGATTCGGTTCGTTTGCAACCCGAACGACACTTTAAAACCGAGCTAGGTCACTGACAACCAGCAAAGGATCAAAGTTTATGTTTGTCCTTTCAGAAGGACCACTTTACAACCAGACCAGCCCATTTTACAACCAGAACGGCCCACTTTACAACCAAGACGGGGCTCTCAACCAGCTAGGCCACTTTACAACCAGCCTTCAGAAGCGCGTGGGGGCTCCGCAGAAGCTTCTGAAGCTTCAGATCGCCTGAGCGCTCTGCAGAAGCTCCTGAGCGCCTGAGCGCTCTGCTGAGGCTTCTGAGCGCCTGAGAGCTCTGCTGAAGCCTCTGAGCGCCTGAGCGCTCTGATGAAGCTTCTGAGCGCCTGAGCGCTATGCAAAGGCTTCTGAGGTTTTTAAGCGCCTGGGCATTTTGCAGAGGCTTCTGGGCGCCTGAGCGCTTTAAAGAGGCTTCTGAGCGCCTGAGCGCCTCGTTGTGGCTTCTGAGCGCCTGGGCGTTTTGCAGAAGCATCTGGCGCCTGAGCGTTCTGCAAAGGCTTCTAAGCACCTAAACGTTCTGCAGAGGCTTCTTAAAACATACGGTTTCACGATTGCCAGACGATGCGGCGCGAGGACAAAGTTTGTCAATGAGGCAAAAAACGATAATTGATATACACACGTATTGGATAGAGCGTCACCGTTGATTCCTGGGCAACGTATCCGCCCCCCTGAGTACACATGCTTCCGCAATGGCGAGCAAAACGGTTTTCCCATTGCCAAAAGACGAGGCGCGAGAACAAACATTGTCTAAGATGCAATAATCCAATAACTTGAAATCCACACGTATTGGCTAGAACTGTACCCATTTGCTCTTGGCCAAATTTCCGCTTTCCTGACTACGCGGGCTTCCGCACATGCGAAAACATACGGTTTTGATATTGTCTGACGATGAGGTGCGAGGGCAAACCATATCTTCTATGATGAAGAAACCATTGAAATCCACATGTATTGGCTAGAATGTTACCAACGGTTTCTTGGACACATTTCCGCTCTCCTGGGAGCGCGAATGTTCCTCGGCGTCGTTTGCGGCGAACGCTTACTGTCCTTTTAGTGTCAGAAGAAAAAACAAACAAAACACCCGGGCCTGTCACCAGCCTGTAGCGGGGTGATCACCATTGGATCACATGTTCGGTTCCACTAGCTTCTCTTGGATACCACAAGGATAATAAGAGGACGCCAATCCTGTTGCAGTATGCCCGTATGGATCGAAAAATGAAGGATTCCGATAGGATTCCAGTGCGATATCCTTCGTATTCGCCAATATGGTTCCGATGGAATTCCAAGAGAAACGGTTCCTACTGCTTTCGAGTAAGAATCTAGAAGGAGCGCCACGGGGGTTCCATATAGTGCCCAAGTGCGTTTCCCGCAGAATTCCAATAGGAAGGCTTCTCGATTGTAATCCAATTGGGTTTCCAAACGGTTTCCATTAGGGAGGGCCCCAAAGGGCTTCAGTAGGAAGCATCCTTAAAGACACCCGTAGGCCCCATAGCGAGGAATATTGTTTGAATTCCAATGGGACTCATCTGGTGCCAATAGGATTCCAGTGGGAAGGGGGCCAATAGGATTCCAATATGATTCCTCTTAGATCCCATTAGGAATCCGCCACGTCACAGATGTTTGCTTGAGACGAGTCTTTTTACCTAACAGCGAAGACTGATAACCGCATGCCGATGATAATAAAGGGACCCCCCCCCTTCAGTGTTTAGAGTTGATTATCGTCGCCCTATACAAAATTCAAATTGGGCGGCGAGCGCTGAGGCCGAACTTCATTATCACCTCGAAACGCTATGTTGATATAGCAACATCAAGCGATGTTGCTATCCCCGCGCGCGCCTGAACTTTTTTTACCTCTGGGGTTGATTATCCATGGAAAGGGGAGCACATGAGCTACCCTACATGAGCACTTAAAAAAATCAATTTTCATAAAGCGTTTGTAAATTAAAATTGATAGATTTGGAACTTTCCATTTTTCCGTTATTATTCTCTTCTTATTATTATCTTGTTCTTCTCTTCTTAGTATTATTATACTTTCCTCTTCTTCTTTCATATTTCTATATGTCCTCACGCTCGCCTGAACTTTTTTATCCCTGGGGTTGATTATCCATGGAAAAATGAAGCACATGAGCTACCCTACACGAGCACTTTAAAACATCAATTTTCATAAAGCGTTTGTAAATTAAAATTGATAGATTTGTAACTTTGGATTTTTCCGTTCTTCGTCCTCTTCTTATTCTCCTCTTCTTCGTCTTTCTTATTATTCTTCTACTGTATTCTTCTTCTTTTATATTTCTCTCTGTCCCCACTCTCGCCTGAACTTTTTTATCTCTGGGGTTGATTATCCATGGAAATTGAGGCACATGAGCTACCCTACACGAGCACTTACAAAAAAACATTTTTCATAAAGCGCTTGTAAATAAACTCTAACAGATTTGAAACTCGAGATGTGTTCTTCTCTTCGTCCTTCTCCTCCTCCTATCAGTTCTTTTATGTTATTAGTTATTCTTTTTATTTTTCTTTTTTATATATAGCTTCCTCCATTCCAGCGAGATAAGCCATTGTTGAGGATATTTCTATGAAAACTAAACGCCAAGGATGTCTCAAAACGTGCTCGGCTTGGTCTCCTCTTGATCATCTCTTACTTCGAGATTATGCTGAGGTCTGCTGGGCTACTTTTACTATCTCTCCCTGAACCCCGAACTTTATTATCCCCTAGTGTGTATTCTCACGGGCATGAGGTTAGGTTTCTAGTGGTCTCAAAAGAGAGCATCATGACTTCCCAAGGGGGTCTGGGCAGATGCCAGACGGGTGTCGCGGGAATCCGGGGACTCCTGCGGAATCCGGGGACTCCTTTTTTAGCCAACAATGAACACTTTGTGGTTTTCGAGTTCCCAGAACTCCATTCCTGGGCATGATTTTGAATGCCTGGAGCCAACTGTAGGCCACTTCGTGTTCTTCGAGTTCCCAGAACTCCACTCCTGGGCATGATTTTGAATGCCCGGAGCCAACTGTAGCCCACTTCGTGGTCTTCGAGTTCCCAGAACTCCATTCCTGGGCATGATTTTGAATGCCCGGAGCCAACTGTAGCCCACTTCGTGGTCTTCGAATTCCCAGAACTCAATTCCTGGGCATGATTTTGAATGCCCGGAGCCAACTGTAGGCCACTTCGTGTTCTTCAAGTTCCCAGAACTCCATTCCCGGGACACATTTTGAATGCTGAGGCAGGCTGATGCTGAGGCTGAGGCAGGCTGAGGCTGAGGCAGGCTGAGGCTGAGGCCGAGGCTGAAGCAGGCTGAGGCTGAGGCTGAGGCTGAGGCAGGCTGAGGCCGAGGCTGAAGCAGGCTGAGGCAGGCTGAGGCTGAGGCTGAGGCTGATGCGGGCTGAGGCTAAGGCAGGTTAAGGCTGAGGCCGAGGCTGCAGGCAGACTGAGGCCGAGGCTGAAGCAGGCTGAGGCTGAGGCTGAGGCTGAGGCAGGCTGAGGCTGAGGCAGGCTGAGGCTGAGGCTGAGGCTGAGGCTGAGGCTGAGGCTGAGGCTGAGGCTGAGGCTGATGAGGTGAGGCTGAGGGCAGGCTGAGGCTGAGGCCGAGGCTGAAGGCAGACTGAGGCTGAGGCTGAAGCTGAGGCTGGAGGCAGGCTGAGGCTGAGGCAGGCTGAGGCTGAGGCTGAGGCTGAGGCTGAGGCTGAGGCTGAGGCTGAGGCTGAGGCTGAGGCTGCAGGCTGAGGAGGCTGAGGCTGAGGCTGAGGCTGAGGCTGAGGCTGAGGCAGGCTGAGGCTGAGGCTGAGGCTTGAGGCTGAGGCTGAGGCTGAGGCTGAGGCAGGCTGAGGCTGAGGCAGGCTGAGGCTGAGGCTGAGGCTGATGCAGGCTGAGGCTGAGGCAGGCTGAGGCTGAGGCCGAGGCTGAAGGCAGACTGAGGCTGAGGCTGAAGCAGGCTGAGGCTGAGGCTGAGGCAGGCTGAGGCTGAGGCAGGTGAGGCTGAGGCTGAGTGAGGCAGCTGAGGCTGAGGCTGAGGCTGAAGCGAGGCTGAAGGCAGACTGAGGCTGAGGCTGAAGCTGAGGCTGAGGCTGAGGCTGAGGCTGAGGCTGAGGCTGAGGCTGATGAGGCAGGCTGATGCTGAGGCAGGCTGAGGCTGAGGCTGAGGCTGAGGCTGCAGGCTGAGGCTGAGGCTGAGGCAGGCTGAGGCTGAGGCTGAGGCTGAGGCTGAGGCCTGAGGAGGCTGAGGCTGAGGCTGAGGCTGAGGCTGATGCAGGCTGAGGCTGAGGCAGGCTGAGCTGAGGCCGAGGCTGAAGGCAGACTGAGGCTGAGGCTGAAGCAGGCTGAGGCTGAGGCTGAGGCAGGCTGAGGCTGAGGCTGAGGCAGGCTGAGGCTGAGGCTGAGGCTGAGGCTCATGCAGGGTGAGGCTGAGGCAGGCTGAGGCTGAGGCCGAGGCTGAAGGCAGACTGATGCTGAGGCCGAAGCAGGCTGAGGCTGAGGCTGAGGCAGGCTGAGGCTGAGGCTGAGGCAGGCTGAGGCTGAGGCAGGCTGAGGCTGAGGCTGTGACTGCGACTGCCGTTGCCACTGCGACTGTCGTCGCGAATGCGACTACGACTGCCAGAACAGCAGAATTCTACAACTGGATTCTCATCTGAATCTTAAGGGGAATGCTTCCAGATATGCTCCTACACATCGCTGTTAGGTTGCTTGGCCGGGATACTTACAACAAACACGCTTCACATAACGAAGTGTCTCCCTTACGTAGACCCACGAAGAGTTCGGAAATTGAAGAGCACGTGTCGTGTATGCGCTCAATTGCCTGGTTGTAAAGTCGCCTTCCTGATTGTGAAGTGCCCTTCTGGGAAAACCCATGCTGGTTGTAAAGTGCCCCATGTGGTTAAGTGGCCGTTCTGGATGCAGTGTGACCCAGACGCCCCCACTACGCCCCAAACGCACCCCCACCACACCTGACACCGGCAGCCTCCTGGAGCCTCTAGGCACAGGCTCTTAGGGGCATCCACACTGCAAAAATCGTTCGGGACCCCCACCCACTACGTTCCCACCACACCTGACACCAGCAGCCTCCTGGAGCCGCTGGGCACATGGGCCACCCATCCTGCAAAACTCGTCTGGGACCCCCCACCACGCCCCCGCCACGCCCCCACCACACCTGACACCGGCAGCCTCCTGAAGCCTCTGAGCACAAATTCTGAGGGGCCAGCCACCCTGCAAAGATCGTCCGGGACCCCCCCCACCACGTCCCCACCACGCATGACAGTGGCAGCCTCCTAGGCCCCCGACACCGCCCGAGGGGAGTCGTGATAATCGAACATCGAAGCTTTAGGATCCATAGAGGACAAAAATCCACCCCCAGAATAACCACCCCGATACGCGACGTCGTTCAGTAAGCGCACCCAAAGACGGAATCGAACGGGGCATGGCGGTTTGGTAAACGCCCAGGGCCGTTGAGCAAAGGCCGATTATCGGGTCCGGGTGGTTTTTCATCCCTTGAATCCAGGGCTGGACCTAAACTGGGTTTTTTAGTTTTGTTGTCCTTGTGTTTTCCGTTTTGCTCTACCTGTTCTCATGTACCTTCCTGAAAAAAACGAAAAACAAAACACAGCCGAAACCCAGCTAAACAGCGCTTAGGCCCAGCCCTGCTTGCATCTGGGCCCTCACGGGCCCTCCTCGTCGCCACGGCGGGACGCAGCTCGGAACACCGGCGCGCCCGTGCCCCCTGGGGGGGCCTCCCAAGGCCCCGCCTGGCCGGAGGCCGGCCTCTGGGAGGGGAGGCCGCCAGGAGAGGAGCCTCGCGCTCCAGACTCGGGGGGGCGCAAATCGTGGCCAGCGGCATGTGCGCGGCCCACGGGGGGGGGGGGCCAGGGACATGATGAAAAAAGAAGAGGCGTCATGAAACCTGGGGAAATATCATGGCCCACGCCGTGAGATCCACCCCCCCCTAATCGTCGCCCCGCCCCGCTCTTGACCGCCCCCGACAGACATGATGCTGGTAGGACCGACGACAACGTGATTACATGACTTCGCGCCAAGAGAATCAAAATATCCGTCGACCCCTTGGGGTGTCATCGGCGTGTGAGATGCTTCCCCCTACCGGACACCCCCCCGGAACCGGGTCAGGTCGATTTGGAGAGACGGGTCCCGCCGAATGCCCTGGTCCCAGCCCGAACGCAACACGGAGGGATAACGGAGCCCAGTGGGCCAGCACGGCCCCAAGACGACTCCAAGACAACCGAAGAGGCTCCGAATCGCCGAAACATCCCTACAAAACGCCCAACATGACCCCAGGACAGCTCGAGAAGCCCCGAAGACGCCCAAAGAGCCTTCGAAGAGGCCACCCAGCAGGGCACGAAGAGATGACTTCCCCAGCAAAGCACCCTAATAGCAAATAAGATATGCAGATTTCCAGCTCGGAGAGCTGAAGCCCTCTTGGCCCGTCTTCGGGCTCGCTTGCGCACATATTCGCCCGTCTTGGGGCGATCTGGAAGCCACTTGAAGAGCCGAACAAGCCACACTTGGTCAAATTCGGACAGGCGAACTCTTATGGGGTCGGGAGCAGAGGCGGCAGCCTGAGGGATCAACCATCCCTCCAACTTCCCTTTTTTCGTACGTCCCTACAAGAGTTTCTCGCCATTGCGGGAAGTGCCCCATTGGAAGACAACCGTCTGAGAATGCCCAATCGTGCCTGAACACCATTCGCGGGCCTTCACTGCCGCGAATCAGCGTGACTGGTGAGTCCTGACATTCCGAAATCGCACGAAGGCATCTCTCCTGTGACTTCGACACGGATAATCAACGAATGTTGCGTCGCTACACTCCCAGACAGAACCAGAACACCACTCCTGGGACTTGAACCATATGAACCCTTGGAGGCTGCTTCAAACTGTTAAAACGAATGAGCGCGGAGTTCAGGCGAGAGCCGAATTTTGAAAAAGAACCGCCCTCCATCGTTGAACTACTGCACATGTTTGAACGGAATGTGCGCGGCGGTAGGGCGGGAACCACATTTTGAAAAGGAGCCACCCTCCACCCGTGAAACCGTTGCAAGAATTTGGGGCGAAAGAAAGAACAGCCACATTGAAAAAACCAGCCGCCATCCATCCGCTGCTAACTTCTAGCTTCGGGATCCTCACTGATGGGGAGGTCTCAGGCGAAACGCACGGCCGCCCTACCGACACGTCTGGGGGTGCGACAGGAAGGTCTTCTTCTATTAAGAGAAAGGGTCGAGGAGGAGGAGGAAGAGGAGGAGGGGGAGGAGGAGGAGGAAGAGGCAGGAGGAGGACCAGTGTAAACCAAAGAGGCATCAACGACGTTGGGATGAACAATCCCTCCAAACTCCCCCTTCAGAAGCCCCTATAACGGTTCATCTTCACTGAGGGAACTGCCTCGTTGGAAGACAACTGTGTGAATACCCTGAAGAATGACGAAACATTGCCCTCGGGATCCCAACGCCACGGATGAACCTGACTGTTGCGTCTTGACGATCCTGAATCGTGTCAGCACGCCATTCTTGGGATTTGAACACTGCGGATCAACAGAACTTGTCCACCCGCATAAGCCTGAATCCTTCAAAAACGCCGTTTCTGGTACGCTGATCATGGGAATCCGTGAAACGATTGCAATGTGTGAAAGAGTATGTGCGCGGTGCTAAGACGCGAACCACATGTTGAAAAGGAACCACCCTTAATGCGTGAAACGCTTGCAACGTTTTCAAACGAATGCGCGCGGCGCCAAAACGATAACCACATTTCGAAAACGACTCGCCCTCAATCCGTAAAACTCCTGCAACCATTTAAGACGAGTGTGCGAGGCGCTAAGGCGAGAGCCACATTTTGAAAAAGGAACCGCCCTCAATGCGTGAAACCCTTGCATTTGTTTGAAACGAATGTGCACGACGCTAAGGCGAGAACCACATCCAATTCGCGAAACTCCTGCAATTGGTTAAGACGAGTGTGAGCGGCGCTGAAGCGAGAGCCACATTCTGAAAACCATCCGTCCTCCATATGTGAAACAAATGCCAATGTTTAAGCTTCAGAGTCGCAAGTGGTGAGGAAGTCTAAAAGGCGAAACACCCGGCCCGCCCTAACAACTGGCATCGGGGCGCGACAGGGAGAAGTGATTTACAAGGGGAAGGAATGGGGACGACAAGAGGGCAATGGAGAGGGACGGATGGGGGAACGGCGGGAGAGCTCGGAGCAGGGCTCGGACGAGGACGAAGTAAGCAGCACCTCTCGCCAGCCCGACGCCAGGGCCCCGTGGAAGTCAGCGGAGCCCGTCCTGGGGACACCGAGAACAACCGATACCGCTACTCCCTGGACCTTGAGATTCGGACCTTGAGGTTCAAACCTTGACCTCCTTCTCCTCCTCCTCCTCCTCCTCCTCCTCCTCCTCCTCCTCCTCCTCCTCCTCCTCCTCCTCCTCCTCCTCCTCCTCCTCCTCCTCCTCCTCCTCCTTTTTCGCCTCCTCCTCCTTCTCTTCCTGCCTATGGGGAAACCGAAAAGCACCGAGATCGCGACTCCCTGGACCTCTACAGGGGCGAGCTCTGACCAGAACTTCGAGGCGAATCCAGCGGCGGCGACGAGGGCCTCCCAGGAGGCCCCCAATCAAGGGAAAGCGAGGGAAGGGTGGCGGTAGGGGTACCACTTCCTCCTCCGACGTCCAGGTGCCCCCGTCCCCGACGAGCACCAGCCACCGGCCTTGGAAGCCCTCCAGCGCGGAGTCCCCCCCAGCGGACTGGCGCGGCGGCCAGCTCAGGAGCAGGGCGGCCTCCCCGCCCGACCAGGCGCTCCAGCAGACGCCCTCTGCCGCCCTCTCCTCTCGAGCCCGACGACGCGGGGGGGGACAGCAGGCAGCAGGGGGGGGGACAGAGGGGGGAGAAAATGAGGCCACCGAGGCCCCGAATTCGAAACCCAGGACCAACTCGCCATACCTGGATCCCGCATTAAGATCTCCCCCCCTCCACCTCCACCTCCTCCTCCTCTTCTTCTTAGTATGGTTCGTATTATTGTTCTTCTTAATAATCATCTTCGTATGAGTATGCTTATTATTCCTAGTGTTAGTATTTTTCGTCTTCCTAGCACTCGTGTTATTATTATGGTTATTATTATCGATAATAAATGTATGTTTATGATTATGCTTCTGCTTCGACTTCTTCTTACAATTATTAGTTGTCATATCATTCGTATTAGGATTAGTGTTCTCATTATTAATATTCCTCCTCCTCCTCCTCTTCTTCCTCCTATTCTCCCTCCTCCTCCTCCTCCTCCTCCTCCTCCAACTGCTCCTCCTCCTCCTCCTCCTCCTCCTCCTCCTCCTGCTCTTCCTGCTCCTCCTCCTCCTCTTCCTCCTCTTCCTCATCCTCCTCTTCCTCCTCCTCTTCGATTTCTTATTATTATCTCTCCTCCTCCTCCTCCTCTTCTTCCTCCTCTTCTTCCTCCTCCTCCTCCGCATCCTCCTCCTCGTCTTTCCTCCTCCTCCTCCTCCGCATCCTCCTCCTCATCCTCCCCTCCTCCCTCGTCCTCGTCCTCTCCTCCTCCTCCTCCTCCTCCTCCTCCTCCTCCTCCTCCTCCTCTCCTCCTCCTCCTCCTCCTCCTCCCTCTCCTCCTCCTCCTCCTCCTCCTCCTCATCCCCCCCCCCCCGCCCCCCAGACTCTCGGTCTTGGCCAGCTTCGAAAGCGGGCCCCCGACGTCCTCTGCCGCCCGCTCCTCCGCGCCCCAACAGGGGGGGCAGCAGAGGGGAAGGTGAGCTCGGGGGGGCCCCAACCGGTGTGGCGACTACACCGCGTGGTTCGAGTAGGGTATCGACGACTGAATTGATGTACCCCCAAAGTCACGGCCCGTCGAATCTGGTCACCACGTGGTTTGGGGACTGGAATCGTTCTCCGGAGAAATCTCGGGCAACTGGGGCCTCCGAGGTCCCCGAAACCGTGCGGTGACGGACCGCGAGGTGAGGTCACTGGGGACTCCGAGCCCGAGCTCACCACGCAGTCCGTCACAACACGGTTTTGGCCCCTCCTCCTCCTCCTCCTCCTCCTCCTCCTCTCCTCCTCCTCCTCCTCCTCCCCTCCTCCTCCTCCTCCTCCTCCTCCTCCTCCTCCTCCTCCTCCTCCTCCTCCTCCTCCTCCTCCTCCTCCTCAGCTCACGCAGCTGGCATCTCCAGCGCCTCCCAGCGCGGCGGGCAGGCGCCGACACGCATCGACGAAGGCATCCGCCGGCGGGGCCGATACAGACTGCATGTGGCGGGGGAGGCAAAGCGGCACAAGAAGAAATGACTGGATTTCGTGATCCCACCCTGCCCAGCACCCCCCCTTGCCCGACCCGATCATCAAACGCAGGGCATGGCCCAACCCAGGGATATACGACCGGAGGGGGGCGCGCATCTTCGATAGCTTCCTGGGGGTGTACCCCTCGAGTTTCCCCCCCCCCCCCATTTGGGGCGGAACTGGGGGACATCGCCTGCGATCAACCCCCCTTCTTTGGAGGGCCCGAAACAGTGCGGTGACCTCGGACACCCAAAGAACCTCACCGAACGGTGCTTCACCGCATGGTTTTGGGACCCTGGAAGCCCCATCCGCCCGAGACGTCATCGGGGAACACCCCGAGCCTCAAAACCGCGGTCACCCAAATTCCCTCCGATTTCACCACGCGGTGAGGTCACCTACCGTTCGACGTGGTACGTCTCGCAACCCCCACTTTCCCTATCCCGCTCACCGGCGGCTGGTGGGGACGATCTGGGCACCCCAGAACGCTTCCGGCGAGGCGCAGCTCCTGGAGACCGCCCCGCGGCCCGAAAACCACTGGGAACCAACATAGACACCCGAAAGCCTGGAACTTCGCACCTTTCGGCGGGGGACAAACCTCCCTTTAGTAAACTTCCCCTTAATCGACGTGTCAGGGTAGGAGGTCTATCAACCTCCGAACCTTGAGTTTCAAAGTTTGAACGCCCAGACGTTCTTCGCCTGAGGGAGCCATTTTCCGCCACCGCTGCCATATAGGTAGGACGCGGGGAGAAGGGAGGGTGGGGAGACCCTGCTCCTGTTCCTCCTCCAACTGCGCCTCCTCCTCCTCCTCCTGCTGCTCCTCCTCCTCCTCCTCCTCCTCCTCCTCCTCCTCCTCCTCTTATTTGTTGGTGCTCTTATTACCAGCATCCTTAGTATTATTATCACTACAATTATCACAAGTATTATGCATACTATTATTAGCATTATTATTAGTAGTCGTAGTAGTATGAAGTTTGGTGATATTCTTATTAGTAAAGTATTTCCCCTCCTCCTCATCATCATCATCATCATCATCATAAGCATCATCATCATCATCATCATCATCATCATCAGCATCATCATCATCATCATCATCATCATCATCATCATCATCGTCATCATCATCATCATCATCATCATCATCATCATCATCAGCATCATCATCATAATCAGCATCATCAGCATCATCATCAGCATCATCAGCATCATCATCATCAGCGGCAGCAGCAGCATCAGCATCATCATCATCATCATCATCATCATCATCAGCATCATCATCATCATCATCATCATCATCATCATCATCAGCATCATCATTATCACCATCATCGTCGTCATCATCATCAGCATCATCAGCATCATCATCATCAGCAGCAGCATCATCATCATCATCACCAGCAGCAGCAGCATCATCATCATCATCATCCACCTCCTCCTCCTCCTCCTCCTCCTCCTCCTCCTCCTCCTCCTCCTCCAACCCATTGCCTGCCCCCTCCTGCCATGGTATCCTACGGTGTTGGAGGTGGAACATCGGCCCAGCGTCGCCCGACGCCCGACCCGATCCTCCACTGCGAACCAGCGCACCTCCGGCGGCCGGCCGTCCGACGCCGTGGCGGGGAACCCGCAGGCCTCGAACAGCGCCGCGTGCAGGCCGCTGCCGGCCAGCGGGTCCAGCAGGCGCCGGGCCCCCCTGGGGGGTCGGACCCGACGCGGCACGCGGCGGCACGCGTGAGCGGGGCCGCCGAGAGGGGGCGGGGGGGGGCGGAAGGGGAGAAGGGGAGGGAAGGGGAGGGAGGAGGAGGAGGAGGAGCAGGAGGAGGAGGAGGAGGAGGAGGGGGAGGAGGAGGAGGACGCCGACGGGGAGGAGGAGGGGGAGGAGGAGGAGGAGGAGGGAGGAGGAGGAGGAGGAGGAGGAGGAGGGGGAAAAGGGGGGGGGCGGAGGAACGGGGGAGGGCGGAGGGAGGGTTTCGGGGGCTTCGGGCGCAAAGAAAGCCTGGTGGATTTAAGGTCGTTGTTCGGGGTGGTTGGTTGCGGCAGCAGTTCCCGTAGTACTCTTAGGAGGATGAAAGTGCTTTTGTTTTGGTTTTCAATGCTTCGGAATTCCCGCGTTCTGGCGTTTGGAATTCCCTCGTTCTGGCGTTGGGCGACGACGACGACGCGTCATACCGTTTTGCCTGATATTGCTCTGTAAACTGGGTAGTCGAAGCCAATCTGGCGCCAATCTGGCAGGCCCAATCTGGCAAACGGGGGCAATCTGGCGAGGGAGCCAACGCGAATACAGTCTGGCGAATAACCCAAGTCATCGAGCTTGGCCAGGCCAGACTGGCCCTTGGGGCCCAATCCAGTCTGACAGTTTGGCCTTCGACTACCCAGGTAAACTGATCGGGCTGCGACACGCGCGCCTCGCGGCCTGACGGCGTCGGACCCCCCCCCTTCTCTGCGCCCCCCCCGCCACCCCACTTCCACGACGAGTCGGGCTGCGACGGGCGCGTGTGACAACGCCGGGCCAAGAGAAACAAAAGGAGAAGACAACGGAAGAGGGGGAGGAGGAGGAGAAACGCATCATATGCATGACGGGTTTTTGTTCACGGCGCCCTTTTCTCTCGAAACTTGGCGCGCGTCGGGCCGCCCCCAGCAACGCGCCCGAGCGGCGCTCGCCCCAAGCGCTGCCCCCGAGCGAATCGCCGCGCGCCCGCTCGCGCGCGCCGCCGCGCGGCAGCCTCCGAGACCAACGCGGGCGCGGCAAGGACAAAACGCGAGCAAAGGCGGCGCGCGTCCACTTCGGAGGTCTTGCAATGGCCTCGATGGGCCATGTCGGTCTTCTTCTGGCCCCTCTGCTTTCGCATGGCATCGCGATTATGCTGCCCGGTGCGGCCTGCTGCTCGTAGTAGGCCGCGGCCTGCGCCCGGGCCCTCGGGAGCCCCGCGTTCAGGTCCACGGCGACATCTTTCTCATCGAGGGGCGCGTCCAAGAAGCAACTGAGCGACGCCAAACGGACACGTTCCATGTCGACCACCGATTCGTCCACGTTCATGCCGACTACGGCCCTCATTGCGCTGGCCCTGCCGATGGCCGCGCACACAGCGCGAAGGCGCGCCGACTTGCCCGGGTAGGACTCGGGCCAAAACTGCCGGATTGGCAGGGGCGAGGCCGGCAGCGGCCCCGAACCGCGCCCAGCCTTGGATGGGAGGGGCAAGCGAGTTCACGAGGCTGTCGCGCGGCCCGACACCGACAGACGCGCCTGTCAGAGGGAAGCATTTGTCAGGAGACCGCGGGGCCTAGCGGCGAGCTGCTGACGGGCGCCCATCGCGAGGCGGGCGGCAACGCTCTCACATTGTTTCCTCGCGCAGGCCGTCCTTGCACGCCGTCTCGCGCAGGCAATCCTCGCGCGCGCAGGTCATGTCATCATGGCAAACTCTGAGGCGGTAGCATGATTTGGAGCGGCGGTGCACCGTCTTCCCCGTAGGGGCCATGAACGCAGTCGGCGGCTAGGGGTGCTCTGATGTCGGCGGCCCATCAGCCATCTCGGGCCGCCCAGACGGCCGCCTCACCGCGGGCGCGCAAGCGCCGGAAAATTGGCCCGCCAACGCGCCCGCCGAGAAGCCCACGGCAAGAGCCAGGATAAAAGAAAGGGCTCCGCCACCACGCCCGGCACTGCGGGGCGGCTCCGCGCGAATTTGGAGCCCGGAGGATTCGCGCCCGCCCGGGGCTGGGGCCTCGCGGCGGCGGCGCGGGCGAAGGAACATCCTGCCCCCGATGACCAGATGATCGCTCCTGCCCCCCCCGTCGCACGCGCGCCCCCCCTTGCCCCCCCCCCCCCCCTCCCTGGCCCCCCTCGCCCTCCGCGCCCGCCGCGCCCCTCCCCCCCCCCTTCTCCTGAACCGCTGAACCGCGACTGACGCGCCTGACTGCGTCGGGCCACGTCGCGCCGAGCGGGCTTCCCCCCGCGCCCCCATCGGGGCCAGGGGCCCGAGCGCCGGGCCAAATACAACCATGACGCGCACTATGCGAGGCCAACTTGCACGCGCCACCGAAGCCCGCAGCAATCATTGCTTATAGAAAATGGTTAGGAACAGGGCCACGCCAGACGGCGCTGCAACGCCGCGGCGAAAAGGAACGCGGCGCAGCGCGCAGGCGCCGCGGCATGCGCCATGGGAAGTCCTGAAGCAGAAACAGCATGTCTCGGTGGCGGCGCCTAAAATTCGCCTCTCTGCAGCCAAAAATTATATACACCACCCCCGCGCGCGCCTCGATGAACGACGCTTCGGTCTTTAAGAAAGAGGGGGGGTAGCCCAGTTGCCGCGGGGGGCGACTGCGCGAAATCGCATCGTAGATCGTCCCCGATCTCGGCGGCGGCAGTCATGCACTGTGCCCGGGCATCATGTGCAACGCTCCCCGCTGGCCCATCATTCGCAACAGGGCAGCGAACAGCTCTGGCGCGCGCCGAGGAATTGAGACTGCAAATCTATTTGCGCATTGCAGAGGTGCGCATTTCAAGGCTCGAAGGGGCCGCTGCGCGACATCTCGCGCATCGGCCCCCCCCCCCCACGCCCGCCGCCCCCGCCGCCAGCCCTCGCCGCCTGGCCGCCACGGCCTCGGCCTTGAGCGGCGGGGCCAGCCGGGGCGGCAACTGCCGGCGCCGCGGCGACCTTGGCCGCCGCCTTCGCTCTCGCCGCAGCTGCCGGCTCACGCCCCGAAGCAGCAGGCGCAATTGCACCTGGAAGATGCCGCGCTCTATCGCGCCGCGCGCCCGCCAGGCCGCCCCTGAGCTGAAAGGCCCTTCCCGCCGCAATGCTCGCGACATCGCCCGCTGCCTCGAACGCGCGCGCTTCCGCGGCGGTGCCAGAATTGCACTGGCGCGCTCGTCGCCCCCGCGAGCCTGCTGGGGCGCGCCTCTAGCCGGTGGCCCATGAAACGTCGTTCGCGCAACATCTCCACGTCGCGTTCCGCGCAATCTGGGGCGATGTCGGGGAGCAGCGGCCAGCGGCAATGGAGATCGCCGCAACGGGCGCGCCCTGCATCCGGAGCGAGTCCTGGGCGCCGCTGCAGGGAACGACCATCGCACCTCAAGCCCCAAGTCTTCGTGCTCGACATCGCCCATTGCCGCGGGCTCGCGCCAGACGACGTCGAGTGGGCGACCCGTCGCCATCCCATTCTTCGCGTCAGTGCGGGCCGCGCTCTCGTTCTCCGCGACGCGCACGTGCCCGTTGGCGCTGAGGGCCGCGAGCCGGCAGATCTTGCCAGGCCCGAGCAAGAGGCGGACGCAGTTCGAGGATGCTAACCTCACGTCGGGTGCCTCTGCGGCGGCGCCGCGGCCGCCACTGCCCCCGTCTCGGACGGGGCCCTCGTCGATTGCCCTCAGCTGGAACCGCTCCGGGCGAGCGTTCTTCGTCGCCGTCCGAGGGGCGCCGAAGGAATTCAGCAGCCCTTGGCACTCCATCGCACGAGCACGCCGAGCGCCGTCCATGTGTTCGTCGAAGCAGCCGACCGAATTCGGGGAACAGTTTGCGAGCGTCGCAGTGCCGCCGCAGCTTCAGCAGTGCGTCCAGAAGCTTGAACTCCACGCCGCGGCCCTGGATTTCCCGACAGTTCCACCGGGCGCACGCCGACTCGCATTCCCGGGCGCGGCCGGACGCCCCGAAGGAGCGGTCCGCCAAGAAAATGCGCGCCGACCACCCTTGCGCCGCACGCATTCGGGACGGGGTCTTCCGCCAAATCCCACAGCTACCTCGCCAGCGCATCGTTCGCCAGGACGGTTTGTTCGAATGTGGTGCAATGATCACGGCGCAATGGTTGCAGGCCAACGCTCGGCGCCCAGAGCAACGCGCGCGCGGCCCCCCTTGCCACGCCGGGGTCTGTCGACAAGATCCTGACCACTCGGTCGGGTCATCGCCGTCGTCGTCGTCGTCGTCGTCGCCAGCGTCGCCCACCCCGTCATCTTCCTTCCCCGTCCTCCCGCCTCCTCCGACTTCCTCATGCTCGTCCTGCTCGTCCTCCTCCTCCTCCTCCTCCTCCTCATACCGCAGCGCCTCTTCCTCATACCACATCGCCTCCACATTCCCATCCTCCTTCTCCCGCTTCCTCTGGGCAACCCCCTCCCCGCGGCCCCGCGGGCCCTCGCTGCTGCCTACGCGCCCTCATGATGCCCTTGTCGTTCAGAGACAGATGCGCTTGCATTCCCGGCGCGGCCCTTGTCGTGAAATTCCGCAGTTGGCTCTATCAAAGAGCCTCTGTCCCCGGCGGCCAGCCCAGGCGACATCCGCGCCGAAACGTCAACCCAACGCGCGCCGCTAACGTCACCGATGGAGTCAGTGACTTCGACAGGCGAGCCCTTCATCACCTCCGAAGCGCGCTCGCCGCGCGCTGCGCCCGCCAGAAATTGCCCCGGCATTCGCAATCAAAATGGCGAACGGAACGGAATGTTCAGTTCCGCGCGCGCTTCTCGATGCAATATCACCATAGTACACGTACATCGCTTTCTTGAGCACGAGGCACCGCACCCTGCGCAACTGGCGGGTTGCGCTCGCAAGAGATGTCCTTGGGCTTCAATTGGAGTTGCCGCGCGGCTCCCCCGCCGCAGTGCCGCGGCGGACAAGCCTCGCCAAGCTCTGTGGCACCTGGCCCGGCCGACCCGAAATCGCGACCGCGGCGCCGGGTCGCTCGCCGACGTTTCTCGGCGGGAGACAGAGGAACAAATGCCCGGAAGTCTTCGCCCCCATCTCCGAGCGCGCCGCCGCCGCCCTGGAGCCCAGGCGTCGCGGAGACGGCCGCCAGGCGGTCGCGCGCGCCGCCCTAGCGCAAGCGCGGCGACATCGCCTCGGAGGCCGCGCGCGCCTCCCCGCTCGCCGCCAAAGCCTGGTCAACGACTCGCCGCGGGAAGTGCCCCATGCAGCGGCGCCCGACATAGTCGGGCCTGTTCTTCTCAAGGATCCCGCGAAGGCCTTCGGCCCCTTCGATCTCCCCCCCGCCATCGCCTGCAACGCCCGCGCAGTCGTCTTTGTAAAGACCAGATCGGGCCCATTGCCTCTCGCGCGCGCTCAAAAATGCGCCCCCCTCGTTGTTCGCGCAGTTCGCAATGTCCCGCAGGCGCGTCTCTCAGGGGTGCGTGTGCGCGAAGCAAGGGGCGGTGACGTTTAGGGTTATCGTCGTCATCGTTATCGCCGTCGTCTTCGCGCCGTCGTCGTCGTGGTCATCGCGCTTATCGGCGTCGTCGTTCTCGCCGGCGTCGTCGTCGTCGCCGTTATCGTCGTCGTCGTTCTCGCCGTCGTCGTCGTCGCCAAGTACCTCGAAATTGGCGGTTTATCGGCGGACTCGTCGAAGCCCCAATCGCTGGGCTTGTTGAATGCAGCCAAGTAGACGACAGAAGTTTGGAACCTGAGGCCCTGGTAGTGCAGAGCGGCAGCGGGCGACTCGTCGAAAGCATAAGTGAAAGCTGCAACGCGCCCGTCGGCTTTGAAAGCCGACAACTCAGCCCCGACCACGTTTTCGACGCAAGCGTCCAAGTCCAAGATGTACTGTTCAAGCTTTCCAGCATGTTTCCTTCTGACAGCGCCCAAGCCAGCATGTTCCGCCCTGTCTTTGGTTTTGAGCGCGATCTCCTCTATATGAACTATGCCTTTACCGATTACTGCTGTTCCAAACCACGTTTTCTACACAACGCTCGCCTTAGCATAAAAAAGTTTCCCTCTGGAGAACATACCATGCGAAGTTCGCGAGGAGCCCCCGGAGGTGCGTCCGACGTCCACCAGGCCGGGCGGGGCGCCGCGCAGTTCCCTGACGACGTCCAGTTGTTTTTTTTCCGCTGTGGCAGGCAACCTTGCTGTCGTGGATAAAGGGGCCCCAGAACACAGAAATAAATACACACAAACAAAACTATTCCCCATCTTTTCCCATATTTTCTGGATTTTTGTCTTCCCCACCACTTCCCATATTTTCCATACTTTCTGGGGAATCGACGATTAATCGTGTCTGTGTGTTTCTTTCCCTCCTGAGTGGAGCTGCCTGCGGGCGCCACGCAGCTCCTGCGCGGCCCCGATCAAGTTCGCCCCCGCGTTGCCGGGCCGCTGGGGAGCATCCCCTCGGCGTGGAGCTCCCACGGCCGAGCTCTCTGCGACGCAGGCGCACCGCCGAGATCGGCGACGACGCAGGTCCGCAGCTGCGCCTTCCGCAGGACGCAGGTCTCCATCTGCAGGAACACGGGAGCGGCGTGCTGAGAGAGTTGGGCATTGCCCGCTTGGACGCCCGAGGGCCCCGCGCAGGCTTTCCCTATGCGCTCCACCACGCCGTCGGCAGCACAGTCTGGCAAAACTCGGTCGCATGGAAAAGCCGGTCCATGAGCGCCTTGGTGTCGCCCCCAAGCCTTGTCGTCAGCGAGCCAGACGCTTGCGTGTTTGATGCGATCCATGAATGACCGCTTCCTCCTTTTTGAAGGCGGTATAAGCGAATCTACGTTTCGCCCCAGCCCTTTCCGCAATGCATTTGAGAAACCATTCGGACACCTCGGCCTTGGTATACCCATAGTATTGCGAAATCAGGTGGGCCTGGTGCTTGTCGGGGCCTTCGGTGAAGCTTTGAGGTCGTTGGTCTTGCCGCGGCACTACCATTGATCCTCCGCCGACACCCAGGATCGGCCCAGCAAAACATTGGTAGGACGCACAAGGCACACTAGTACTATGTGTCCTCCTCGGAATTGCGTGCCCGACCCGAACATATAGTACAACCACCTTGTAGTATATCGTTGGACGAGCGGTAGGGCCAGAAAGCGCCCGCCATGAAGCATATACTATAAGATTTCTCTGCGTGCGTGTCGCCCCTGGGGGGGGGGGGGCGACGCACGCATAGTATTAAGTAGTGTGTTGGGGTGGCGCCAAATTTGCGAAGCACCCCCCCGGACGACCTGGAGCCTGTTTTTAATGATTCGTGATCGCGCCCGTGATCGCCCCCCTTCCTCACCGGTCACGTCACGATTCGCGCCAGCGCCATCGGGGAATGAGCTGTTCTTAAGCATTCCCAGACGGCACTGGCGCATACCGTGACGTGACCAGCTTCCTCCCCCCTCCCTTCGGGGATCTTCTGACCTGGGTCAATCCAGACCCGGGTCAGCAAGAAACCAAAAACTGCAATGCAGGAAAAAAAAACTGCAACGCAGATCTTCGCAAACCCGGGTCAGCCAATATGCGCGGCCGCCTCGCGGCCACGAGCGGCTCGCTAACCCCAGTCAGCCAGAGGGGGTCTTCGCAGGATCCTGCAGGACCTGGCGCCCCGGCTGACCCCCGTTTGCATTGACCCCCGTCTCGAGGCTCCCGATCTCTCCCTCCTTCCCCCCCCCGTCATGCAAAGGTCACGCCCTGTGGCGAGGCACCCCCGCGCCCGACCTGGCGCGCAGCTCCGCCGCGGCGCAGGCCACGTCCTCCGGCCCCAGCAGCGGGAACGCGTAGGCCTGCGCCAGCGCGTTGCGGGCCGCGGAGGCCCACGCCGGCGGCACGCCGCCCGCGGCCGCTGCCGCGGCCACGAACTCCGCATAGGCGGCCAGCGCCTCTGGGGGAACCAGAGAAACACGTAGCCCCCCGTAGCTGCGTCGGGAGCGGCGGGGACGTCGGCAGCCTGGGAGGCTCTGACAGAAGCCCGCCGCAGGCGCTCGAGTTTCACGTACTGTGCGATGAGCCCGCCCCGGGCGCCGACTTCTTGGTCAAAGCAATGTGGGTGGGTCGCGGGCGGGTCGCGGGGTCGGTCGCGGGTGGGTCGCGATGGGTCGCGGGTGGGTCGCGTGCCTGGTCGCAGGTCCTCGAAAGTGACACAGTTTCACATTTCGTAGCCACCCAGAAATGGCGAGGTACTGTTTGGATCAAAAAAAAGGGTGCGAGAGGAGAGAGCCGAGAGGAGAGCGGAGAGCGGGGGGGGGCGAAGAGAAGCAGGTGGAAACCCCACTGCTCTATCGACCCAAAGACGGCCCCAAGGGGCATCTAAGACGCCCAAGATGGGCACCCCTAAGAGGGCCCCAAGTCGGACGAGAAAAGCCCCCAAGACGGCTTCCGACGGCGTCAGACGGGCCAGGAGGCCATCAAGACGGCGAAAGATGTCTCCAAGATGGCCCAAGACGGCCCAAGAGGCCCCCAAGAGGTCTCCAAGATGGCCCAAGAGGCCCCCAAGAGGGCCTCCAGGAAGGCTGAAAGAGGCCCGAATAAGTAATTGTCCTAGGATGTTGGCATGTGCTTCTTTTCGGCCTACCGACTGCCCGAGACGGGCCAAGAGCACCCAAATATCGCCCCAAGATCGCCCAAGATGCCTCCAAGATGGCGCCAGAACGGCCCAAGAGGCCCCCCCCAAGACGGCCCCAAGAGGGCCCCAGGGCAGCCCAAAAGGCCTCCAAGGCGCCCAAGATGGCCTCCAAGACGGCCCTGGAGCACCCCAAGAGGGCCCTAGGTCGGCCAAGGGAGGCTGCCCACGGCGACAGACGGGCCACGAATACCCTAAGACAGCCAAAGAGGCCCCCGAGAAGCCCCCGAAGGCCCCCAAGAGGCCAATGGAGGCCCCCAAGTTGCCTCCAAGAGGCCCTCAGGAAGCTCCCAGGAGGCCACAAGAGTGCCCCCAGAAGCTCTCAAGATGCCCCCTCCCCCTCCTCCTCCTGATCTTCCCCGCCATCCTCCCCCAAATGTTCCCCGAAGGCTTTCCACAACAGCTGGGGGAACACATGGTTCGATAGCTTGGCATAGCCCTTGCCACAACGCTCGGCCACGTGGGCGATTCCAAAAGGCAGGGGGCGGCGGTGATTCGCCGTAGGCGTCTTCGTATAAGAAAAGATGGGAATGACGGGACGGAGCAATGTATGTCAGGTTCGTGTCGTGCCGAATTCGGCGTTGGTTTCTGACACCGCGGGGATCGTTCAACCTTGAACGATCGGCTGTTTCCGAAACGTCCAAGCCGTCCCACATCGAACGATTATGGGCCGCCCGCGGCGTTCAAAGTTGAACGCCGCTGGCGGGGTCGCCGCCGGTCGACACGATACGAACCTACCGAAATATACAGGGGAGGCCCGACCACAAGAAGCCTTCCACAAGAAACCCAACCCTGAGACCCCAGGACGTCCGTCGATTCTATGGCGTGGGAACGCCACGCTTCCCATGGCAAAGCCATCGAGGCCCAAGAAACCCACGGCACCCCGGAGGCGAGCAGGGTGCTTCCTGGCATGGGTCCCCGCTGTATCCGAGTAGCCACGCTACGACCCGGCCAACCATCCGCCAACAAGCGCGGGCCCGCCCAGGAACTGGCCTGCCAGCATGCCAGCATGCTCGACAGGCGGACACGGGGCAGACACTCCATTCAGCACATGCCTACGGCGACTGCCGACATCCTCCTCCATCCTCCTCCTCCTCATCCGCCTCCTCCTCCTCCTCCTCCTCCGCCGCCTCCTCATCCTTCTCCGCCTCCTCCTCCTCCTCCGCCGCCTCCTCATCCTTCCTCATCCTCCTCCTCCTCCTCCTCCTCCTATCCTCCCTCCTCCTCCTCCTCCTCCTCCTCCTCCTCCTCCTCCTCCTCCTCCTTTTTGTTCCCCCTCCTCCTCGTCCTCCTCCTCCTCGTCCTCCTCCTCCTCCCTTCTCATCCTCCCTCCTACCTCCTTGAGTCAAGGCTCACAAACTATCAAAAAGGATGGGCTCGCACGAAGCACCCCGGAGCGTCCCGGAACGGCGGCACAGGCAGGAAGGCCTCCACAATATTCAACAGGCCCTGGGAAACACAAATAAATCGACACACACACACATTCAATGATTTCCTACATGTTTCCATATTTCCGAGATGTTCCTCTGACCCCCATATTTCCCCGCAATTTCAAGATCACCGGGTGTAGTTTATTTGCGCCTGCTTTCCCCTCCTGAGACACCTAGGTGACCTGATTTCGCGCATCACGCCCCGCGATGCGCGACGCACGATTATCGTCGCGCCCTCACGACCTCGTCACGCCCCCACTGGAGAAGGGCAGCATCTCCGGCCCAGGCCGCGACGTGCAAAGCGTGATTATCTTCGCACCCCTGGGGGTGACCTAGGATACCAATACCGCTACTCCCCCGGACCTCGCCTGGACCTCTGCCGAGGTGGGGCCGAACCCAGCGGTGGCGACGAAAGGACCTCCCAGGAGGCCCAAGAGAGGCGAAAACGAGGCCAGAGTAGCGGCGTCGGCACTCCAAGCTTCTTATGAATCAAGGGTGAGGTCGGGCAGGTCCCTCTGCAGCTAAAAAAAATAAGCATTGACAAAGAATGGTTCCCGTACTATGTTTGTACTGTTTCTGAATATTCCTCCTGTAGAGGGACAGGCCCGACGCGAATCAAGGGGAGGCAAGCGTGAAAACAGGCAGCAGCTTTTTTGTCCGCCACCGCGCTTGCAGCCGTCGGGTATGCGCGTCGGGCCCCTCCCGCGCTCTGAGAAGAGCCGTAGCCGAGCGCCCCGCCGACGCGTCCAGCCCAAGAGGCGCGCACTGCTGTGGCCACAGAGTCCCGGCGGTTTGTTGCCTCCCAGGCAGGAAGATGGCTCCCAACACGAAGCCTGGGGAACGGGGGGGGGGTCCATGGGCCCTCTCCCCACCCCCTCGAGGCACCCTCCCCCCCGCCCGCCCGAACGCAATGGCGGAATCGCGCGGCAGCGCAACTGTTGACAGACGTGCAAACGGGACGCGACCAAGCACCCCCCTGGCATGACAGCCCTGAGGCGTTCAATCCCAACCCATTGTGCATGCCAACACCCCCCGAACTCACGGCGAGAAGCGCCAACCTCCCCCGCAACCCCGACGGACACGCCACGCCCCCCCCCCCCGGGAAGTGCTGGGGAAACCAGAAAGGCACCGATACCGCTACTCCATGGACCTCTCTCAGGGCGTGTTCTGACCAAAACTTCGAGGCGAACCCAGCGGTGGCGACGAGGGCCTCCGAGGAGGCCCAAAAATGAGAAAAATTGGAAAGGGTAGAGGTATAGGTACCTTTTCTAGAAGAAGAAGAAGAAGAAGAAGAAGAAAAAAAAAAAAAAAACTGTTGGCGCTCCGCGCGGATTCCTTGGATCCGCGCCGGACCGCGCGCGGAGCGCGCCAGGGGCGGCGCCGGAGGCGCCGCCAGGGGGACCCAGCGCGGATCCGAGAAATCCGCGCGGAGCGCCAATAGTTTCTGTTTGCGTGGTCTTTTCTGATTCGATTTCCCTCCTCTGAATTGCGGAGGGGGGAATCACTGAAGGAGTCAGAATACATTCCTCCGCTGAGCCTCCGCCCGCAGCTCCGCGGGGGCGGGCAGCCAGGCGGGCGCGCGGTCGGCGAGCCGCAGCAGCCGCAGCGCCAGCGCGCCGCACGGGGCGGCGCCGCCGGCCGGCGCCTCCTCCAGCAGCTCTGCGGGGTCGCCCCGCCTGCGGGACCAGGAAACAAGCAACAGCGCCCCGCCTGCGGCCCCACGGGCCTCGGCACACGTTCGGGCGTTGGGACCTGGTTTAGTGATGTGTACTGTCGGGGTCGGCCAAGAGGGGGGCGTCAAAGAGGGTGGGGCGCAAATCATGGCCAGCGGCATGTGCGCGGCCCAGGGGGGGGGGCCAGGGACGTAGTGAAATAAGAAGAGCCGCCATGAAATCGGAGGAAACATCATGGCCCACGCCATGATATCCACCGCCCCATCATCATCGCCCCCCTCTTGGCCGCCCCCGATGCTGGGGCACGCCCCCCCCCGCCCCGTTCCACCAACGGAAACTGCCGTCATCAAAACACAAGCTACGGCAGACCTCGTTTACTGATTCTGGCCAGTGTAAGGGCTCCAGGGCCCTGCTACTCATCGGGTCCCTTTCCCTGGGGTCCTGGCTATACCCGATGTGTATGCCATGAGATCCGGCTTGGGCTTCGGCGTGCCGCACGCTGTGGCCCCCGATGGGCCCCAGCACGGCGTGGAGGGCCGCAGGGTTGGGGCGGTGCCGCTTGTTCTCTGGTCGGCCTGCGGAGCAGCTGCAGGAAGCGCCACTCGCAGAGGACCAAACAACGGCACAAACCTGAACCTTCGACGGCGCACGCGGATTCCTTGGATCCGCGCCGAACCCCCCCCGGGCGGCGCCTCCGGCGCTGCCCCTGGCGCGCTCCACGCGCCATGGAGGGCGGCCCCAGCGCCGATCCGAGAAATCGGCGCGCACCTCCGAAGACTCATGCTTCACGTCACTGTCTGGCGCTCGACCTCGCGGGTCCTGGGAAAGTGCGCCGGCTCCACCCGCGGATCGGAGGAACGCTCGTCGCAGCCGACGGCGCCTGCGCGGCTGCCGGCGCGGCGGCCGTCGCCACCCTGGCGCCGTGCGCTGCAGGGCACGGCAGCTGCGGCGGCCGCTACCAGAGTGCCCCCCCGCGCCACAGCGCGCACTGCGGCCGCCGCCCTCATCGCGCGCCCCTCCCCCCAGGGAGAGGAGTTCGGGCGGGCGCGGTGCCACTGGTGGATAGGAGATCGTAGAGGCCATGTCCTGCGCTCCTGTTCCTGTTCCCGTTCCTCCGTCTGCTCTTCTGTCTCCTCCTCCTCCTCCTCCTCCTTCTCCTCCTGCTCCTCCTCCTCCTCCTCCGCCTCCTCCTCCGTCTCCGCCTCCACCTCCCCCGCTTCAGCTGAGCGGGACAGCGCCTCCTCACGAAAGGCCGGGGAAGATTGGGGGCGACAGTCTGCCCCACTTCTCCGGCATCAGCGTCTGGCCTGTCCTTGCTCCCCCATGGGTGCGCAACGTGATCGGTGCCCCCAGGCAAGCTAGGGCGCGAAATGATGCCAAACGCTGTTTGCCAGGGTGTCCCCCCCACCAATCTCGCCGCACCCAGTCGCCTGAACAGTCCCCGCTCCTGGGGCTGCTTGGGCGGGCCATCGCCTCCCTGGCTGCCTCCAACGCCTCCAAGATGCCAAAGATGATTCCCAAGACGGCTCCAAAAGGCATGCAAGAGGCCCGGGAGGCCTCGAGTACGAGGCAAGAAGCTCTAAGGAGGCCCCAGCGACGGGGCCCAAGAGAAGACCAAGACACACAATATCATCAATCAACCTAAAGAGCTGTTCGATGGCGCACGGCCGCTGGGAATTCGTCACCAGTCCAAGGCTGGGGTGGGCGCGGCGAAAACGAAGACGACGGCGACACTTTTGGGCGAAAGAGGACGGGAAAAGATGGCGCAGAGGGCAAACGGAAGGGGGCCAGGGCCCCGAGCTTCCCACTGCCCAGAGTCACTGCGGGTCCCGAGCCCCGCACAGAGAGGCGGTTGGCTTTGCAAAGGTTAAGTCGGGCGTGTCCCCCTACAGGGGGATTTGGGGCGAAAAATGCAATAAAAACCTCAACAAAATACACCTCACATGCTCAAAAATTGTCAAAAAATCGTCCCAATGCTGTCTTTTGACTATGTTTGAATATTCCCCCGTAGAGGGACACGCCCGACTTACTGCAAGGGTTCCGTTCGATGGAGTGCGGGCCTCGCACTTCAGAGCAGCGCATGGCAGAGAGCAGAACGCGCACGTGTCCGCCGGGGGAGCGGGGCCCGGAGGCCCGCGCGGGCGGGCCAGGGCCCTCAGTGGCAGATGTGAGAGTCGTGATTCGTGCTCTGCGCGTGGAGGAGGAGGAGGAGGAGGAGGAGGAGGAGGAGGAGGAGGCGGAGGAGGAGGAGGAGGAGGCAGAGGACGAGGAGGAGGAAGAGGAGGAGGAGGAGGACGAGGAGGAGGAAGGAGGAGGAGGAGTAGAAATGCTTGTTCTAGGCAACTTCGATTGCGTGTTGTCTTGTGCTCGTGCAAACGATCTCGTCCGCTGCTTGGTTGGAGAGGCGCGCGTGCTTCCAGAAATAGTGTGAGATCGCTTCCCACCGTTTTCTCTGACCCCCGAGCCTGCGGAGCGCTTGCCGGTTGTCGTGGACATCTAGATCCCACGTTGCAACAAGTCGGGCAAAACTGTTGTACGTCTGATTGGCGATTCGTCCTGCCCACCACCATTTCCGTCGAAGTAGGCCGTCGTCCATTCATCTACAGAAGCCTTTTCTGCAATTTCTGTTGCTGCATGAAATTATACGGATAAAGATTCCCACAGCTCAAAGTCGGAATCGTTGTCGCCACAAACGGTTTGCCTTTTTTTGTCGTCAACGTTCATGTCTGCTTTGCCTCCGTCGTCTACATGCGTCTCTGCGCCGGAGTTGCCAATGCCGTCAATAGTGGCGCCACTGCAGTCTACCCGATGTCCTGGGGTCTGCACGACGAGTCGTAGCATCCGTCGTTGTATGCGCCTCAGCGTTTGGAGCATGTCCTAGGCCAACGCCCAAGAAACGCAGCCGCACATCACAGATGGTGCCGCTGTTCCGTTGAACAAGCGGAGTCTGCTGAGCCCGTTTCGGAGTAGGTTGAAGCTGCGCCATCGAGACGCGATTCTGTTGGCGAGTTCCGCATGGTGGCAGGCGTTATCCTGAAATGTGTGCTTCCAGCCAAGGACTTTGGTAGTCTGGTCCGCATTGTGAGCCAGCGCTCGAGCTAAACAATGTTCCTCGTTTTCGTTTTGTGTTCGGCTTTCCTCAATCTGTCGTCGTTCCGTTTTTACGGCAAAACAAACTCAAAATGATAACGGTGTACGAAATCGCCAAAACACCGTTCAGTTCGAGCCCTGTTGTGGCCGTCGACTCTGGCGTGTGAAATGGTCCGCCGCTGTCGTCGAGCGGCGCTGGCGGGAAGTTTGGTTTTGTCGGGATGTGGCGCAAGCCTTCACGTTGCAACTTCTCTTACAAGATCCTGGGGATGCACCTTCGAATGTCGTAAGTTCGGTGCGAGGAGAAGCGCTTCGTCTGCAAATCGTAGCTTGGTGCGCCGGATTTCCCTGGTGCGTCCCAATTTGATTCCACACCGTGTGTGTTCCCGGGAAGTCTTGATTTGTCGAAGAACGTGTTCGAACATTGCGCTGAATAGGTCCGCCTTGTTTGATCCCGCGCTACATGCTGAATCCTGTGCTGTTGGGTTGGCGTCGGTCCTCGTCGTGGCGGCCTGGTCGTCGTCTCAAATTGGGGGTTGAGATCGCAGTGGAACGGACAGGGTTTCGGTTTCGGTTTCGTGTTTCGTGTTTCGTGTCGTATCGGTTTGGTGTTTTGTGTTCGTGTTCGGTTTCGTGTTCGTGTCGTGCGTGCGGGCGGGGCGAAGCTGCGTGGACGCGCGAGAGAAATGATGCCCTCCCCCCCCCCGGCGCGCGGTGGCCAGGGGTGTCCCATGCGTGACGCGTCGGTGTCCGTCGGTGTCCCGTCGGCGTCCCGTCGGTATTCCGTGTCCCTGAGCAGGGCGGCAAGATCGATAGTGAGATCGATCGTGAGATCCGTTGTGGGATCGATAGTGGGATCTGTTGTGAGATCGATGGTGAGACCGCTGGTGAAATCTTTAGTGGGATCGACAGTGAGATCGATCATGAGGTCGATTGTGAAAACGATTGGGATACCGATCGTGATACAAACAGTGAGAACTGTGGTGAAATCGATAATGGGTCCGAATGTGAGATTGACAGCGAGTTCGGATGTCAGATCGACGGCGAGATGACAAAGAGCAACACTCATCGCGATCAACATCATCATCACGCATCGTCGCCAAGCCGAAGGCGCATCACCGGAATCGTCCTCTTCACAACCACCAAGATTGCCATCAGTTGATTATTTCCTCCCCCCCAACTTCCTTTTCACCCGAAGGGTGGTTGTATAAGTATAGGTTCCGCAGCAAGGAAATGTATGAGATTGGGACGTTCTGCTATCGAAATGTTGTTGGTGGTCAACGTAGTCGAACGCCTCCTTGAAATCAATTCCGGCTGTCCACAAAGGGGGTTGCCATTCATAAGACTCGTCGTGACATAAGGGCGACGTGGCGAGGTGGTCTTCTGCACAGAACTTCTTGCGAAAGCCAGCTCGGTCAGCTGATTGCTCAGACTCGAAGGTCGCATCTAGCAGCTTGCATAGAAATCGAGGCATCGATGTGTATAGCAGTGGGGTGATGGCCATTGGTCTAAAGTGTTGCGATGGTTGTGAGCTGCCTGACTAGTAGATGACACTCACCTGAGGTGCGTCTTCACTGCTCAAGCGGATGTCGCCCAATTGATACAACGTTGTTGAAGAGCTCCAACGAGTACGTTTCTGTTGTTGCATCACTGGGTGGTACGTTTCTTCGTCGGTGAAATGTGGAAACACATGGCGGGCAGGATGTTGTGCATGGTCACGCGCCTCGGACGGCTGAACGTCTGCAAGTTCGCTGGTTTATGTGAGGCGTCGGTGCGTCGGTGCAGCTCTTCGAAGAAGTCGGCGAAGGTGTCTGCAGTGCCTTGGCTGTCCGCCTCACTGCCTCCTCTTCTTTCGTGGTCATGCGCGGTATCAAATATTTGCTTATTTAGGACTGTAAGCCAAATAATAGCTTGAGGTCTCGGACGCTATATCTGATATCATCCAACTTTGTGTGCCAATGAGCTCGCTTGACGACTCTGTGTTGTCGCACTAAGCGCTTGCTGACGGACTTTCTGGGGGTGTCGTTAGAACGTGGCGTGCTCCTGTGATGCTTGGTATGTGTTCGTGGGAATCGAGTGGCTTCGTCGTCGTCTTCGTCGTTGTGGTGTCCGCTGGCTCATGTGCTGCTGCTGCTCCTGGAACTCTTATGCTGCTGTTGTTGCATGCTCGGTGCGTGCGCAAAGGTCACTTGGGTCGCACGGTGGACCGCCGCTAGTCAGATGCTGTCGCAAGTAATGCTGGCAATGCGGGTCGTCGTCTGACGCGTCGCGGTGGTCGGTGTTTCGCGTTCTCCAAAGTAAATCGAAGATAAACGGCTTGGTGATAAGATCCGAGCGTGCTTCGAGTCCGAATGCGTGCACGTGAAATTGTTCTCTGAGTCCTTGAAGACGTCACGGTTTCCATAGCAAAACCATCGAAACCCAAGAAGCCCAGGGCTCCATGGGTTTCCACTGTAATAATGGGTGATCTCCACACGCAAATTAGTGTAGAGCTGGAGGTCGTGAGGTGGAGTTTGAAAGATGGATGCGAAAAATTGAGAATCGACTGCTGGAAATGAAACTGGGAGTCGGAACTACTTAGATGACTCTCGGATGGTGTAGGCTGGAGGTCGTGGCGTGGAAATCGAACATTGTGTGCGAAAAATTGGGGCTCGGAACGTGGAAATGAAAGATGAGAGCCCAAATCTAATGACTGGAGCTTGACCGGTGGAGGCTGTAGGTTCCGAAATGGAGGTCGAAATGGGACATTAAAAATCAAAAACTGGAGGTGGGAGCTGGGAGTCGGAATCTGTCAGCTGGAGCTTGGTTGGGTGGAGTGGAAGTCTCGAAAGCTGGGTGTGTAAGTTTGGAGGTCGGAAGCTGGGGGTGAGAGCTGTGAGTCGAAAACTGGCGGTGGGAACTGGGAGTCGGCAGCTGAAGCATGGGATCCAAATCAATGTAAGACGGCAGGCTGAAGCCGGAGTCGGACTGCTCTCGGTAGTGGTAGCTTTGCCCGC